GATTATCTTCCATATAATAAAGGAGCAGATGTTAAACATTTTCCTGAGTCTGGCCTCAGAGGTAATGTGATCCCTAGAACAGATGGCACGTGACACAAAACACAGCCGGTGGCAGCACATACAAGATGCTCAGACTGTGGTGATTGGATTCTGGCAGAATGGTGACTAGAGGATGAAGAGCATGTTTACTGTCCAGACCATACTCTGAACTACGTCCACACACACACACACACACACACACAATAACACATTTTCTACAGCAGTTTATCTTTTTTTGCAGAGCCCTTCCTAGTGTCATGAAAGATATTTCTTTAAAAATCACCATGATTTTATTGCAAAACAAAGCTTCATAATGATATATATTTATAGTTTCTTCAAAAAAAGGAGATATATTACCAAGCTGAAACATCTTGTAAGATCCTACTTGTTCTTCAGAAAACATACTTTTCAGGTCCGTGGGATCAGAGTAAGGTTCAGCTGTATCCTGAGTTGCCATTTTCTAAAACTGATATTATATGTTTCTTTTTCTTTTTTAGGGCAAAATACAACAGTTCTACAAAAGGTTATAAATAGCATGAAGTATTGTTGTGAAGACACGCKGAAGTGGGAGTGTCAGAAATGGCAGGAGGTTCTTGGCCTCTGTCTTAAGGAGTTTAGATAGACTATGATGCAAAGTCAAAAAAAATTTTGATATTTGATATTTTTGATCCTACATTTTAATAGCAACTGAAGTAACTGAACCTGGTTACTTGATTCTGGCATAGAAGTGAAATACGTATGTGCCTGGAAAACAGACAATGGCCCCACTTTAAAACAGCAAAACTCCTCTTTTTTTTGTTTGGACTACCTGTTCACCCATCTGAATCATCAGGATTAAACTTTTTTTTCCTCCAAACTTACAATGTTTAAAAAAACTGGCTACATCAGGTAAGATAACAATTGTTCATAATTTTTCTACAAAACTCCACATACAGAGATCACTTTTTAAAACTTGAAAACCACTTTAATACTACAAATGTTTAAATTAAGAGAACACAGGACTCTGCAAAACGTAGACACAAAAATGAGCTAAAAACTTTTGGTGTAGGACAGGTCTTGGCAATCCTACAGTGGCAGACCTGCTTTATCTGGTTGAAACAGTTATTTTATGCGGGGGGCGGGCGGTGGGGGTGGGGGGGTCAATTTTGAGCCATAAATTAAGCTTTAAAAAGGATCAAGGCTCTCCATTCTTCCTTTGCTGCTCATTTTAGCTTTACATTTCTGTAGAGCACAAGTAAAGTAAATTCTGTGTTTTAAAATATTTATCCTGTACCACTGAAAAATATGTTCACACAGGAAGTATGCATGCAGTCATAAAGTTAAAAAAGAGAAGAAAATACAAACAGATTGAGGGAAAATATGGGAACACCACAAGGTTTAAGGTTTCTTACTGCAACACGACAGCAAAGCACCGCCTCATTACTCACCACTGTTACGCCATCAACAGCTTAGATTCTTTACAAAARCCTTAAAGGTTAACAACGGTAAAGTGATGGATTCTTTGTTAGAAATGGTTTTCTGCTACTAAAATCAAGGGTCAACAGTTATTACTTGAGAGATCTTTGTGTATTCTTCCAATAATTGTATCTTTAAGTAAAGAAGAGAAGACTTTCCTGCTCCGTGTGTTAGTTTAAATGTACGTATTTATGAACGTTTAAACGAAGCCGTCTCTTCCTCTGGTGGGAGGAAATCTGCTCCGCTCTTTCAGTGAAAGCACCAGTCGACACAAAAGAAGTGCTATTTTTTCCCCCTCCTTCCTCAGAGCTCAGTGCCTATTTTTAAACTGAGGAGGAACACCAGGAGCTTAATTTCTTTCCAAGGAATTGCAGCGAGCTTTCTTTTGTGGCGAATTATGTAACCACTTGTCATCGGCTCTAATTAAGTAATCTTTTTTTTTCTTAACCCCTGAGCAAGTGTGTCATTTGTTTAATGTTTGGTTTTAATCCTATCTGGAATGTCTGAGTGTTTGTATATTTTTAGCCAAATATTAATCAGTTGGTTTGTTGATTTCTYTCCTTTTATCTGTTCTGTGATTGTGCACTCCATGCTTGGTCATATTTTGTTTGTTTTTTTTTTCTTTTGTAAGCATTGAGTTATTTTAGAGAGAATTAATTAATATATTTAGTGMAATTATTAGAATACAATAAACAGAACTGTAACATTATTCAAAAATGCAGAATTGTGTGAAAACAAATGTTTTCAGGACATTAGACTCATTCAATCAGACCCAGTGTCACAGGTATGGCAGCCCAGACATAACAAATCAAACACCAAAACAAAAGAAATGATTAAATATATTCTGCTACAAATCACCACCTTAACAATGAACCTGCAGGTGACAAATGAAAAAATTTACAGTATTATTTGTGATGTTATTTGTCTTTTTCTGTTTTCATGTCAAGAAATTATCAAAAAAGTATCCTGACTTTTACTTTAGTTATTTCATTGTTACTTGGGATTGTGAATTGAATGTGTACCTTTTTCATTGAACATGTAGTTGATTGATTATTACACAAACGGTGTCTTATAATCCACCACAACAGTTTTGTAGCAAAGCAATAAGTGTTCACATGTAATTTGTGTTTGGTTCATCCATTTCCAACAGAACAAACTTGATGTTTTGTTAGTGCAATTTTTGTTACTTTCTGGCAGGAACAGGAAATCATCACGGCCAGATCTCCTGCAGAATTACATTTTCACTTAGTACTTTAGAAACTGCCTTTTTGAAAGCAGTGGATGCATCTTGAGAGCTATTAAGCAAAATTGACTTTGAGCTCTATATCATGTTATAATGTCATTCCCTCGTCAAAACCGTACGCAAGAGTGTTGCTTTGACTCATTCATGCACATCCTGTGGAGCCATGTGGAGCTGCCTAAAAACCTGCTAGTACAAAACTCCGCCTATTTACACAAAACTCCTCCCTGGAGCTCAGTCTGCAGCCGAGCCCCTCAGAGCACATCTCCCCCCGAAGCATTGTTGTAAATATGCACTGAAGTGGGAGTGTCAGRAGTGGTTGGAGGTTTTATAAGAGACAGAGGCTAATTTCAAGGTGTTTAGGTAAACTATGATGCAAAGTCATTATGCAGCATTTTATTAACAACTGAATGTGAAATAGTCACTTGATTGTGTTACAGAACTGAACTATGTGCCTAAAAAATACATAATACCCTCTCTCAGCACAATACCTTAAATCATGTGTGATCTATCAGTCCTCAGAGTATTTGTTGTAAAATTATCTCAACTACTGCTACATACAATTTAGCTCAATATCTAAAACTGAGTTATGGTGTTTCTTGCTCACTAAGGTAGAGTAACTGTGGCAGCCATCTTGAACTGTGTTGACTTTAAAATAGAATTTGTAGATGTGCATTAAATGGTTACTTTTAATAAGCTTCATTAAAATCAAATCAATCAAGTAGTCAAAATACAATAAAAAACGTTAACACAACAGACCAATAAACGCAGCCATACACACATTCACACATACACACACAAGCAAAAAATACAAAATTCAAAATCTTCACAACTGCCTGTTGTTTGCTTTAAGTGTTGAATTTCATTTAAAACAGTGGATACTTTTATTTGCACATTATAATGCCACCTATAAWTATTAGTAAATAAAAAATGTAATTTACTTATTTACCCAACTAATAGGTTGTAAAGTTCACTTGATTTCCTGCTGACATGGCTCAAAGTGGAATTACCAGACTTAAAGAGTACTGTAAATCTTTAACAATAAATAATAAATCCCAGAATGAAACACTAAATGTCAGGAGCACCTAATTATCTCTACCTGACATTTAGACTGTCTGTTTGTTGAAGAGAGGCTCAGTACCCCGTGTTGGAAGTCTCCTACCTATCATTATTTTTATCTGTGGGTGAAGGATTATTAAAATCTGGTTAAGGTTTCAGCAACTTTTCTAAAATAAAGTGCCCTCGTTAAGTCAAATGTGACTGTATTTGCTGTTTGTAAAAAAAAACATAAAAGTGCTACACAAAACATATATTTGCTCATTTTCTATGTCCAGTTTGCCTTTTCAACGAGTGTTGAGACAATCCCAACAAGCAAAACGAAGGTGGTCATCTACTCATCACAGAACACTCAGTGTTAATTACACTGCAGTCCATCCTAATCATTAAATAAATAAAACATTAAAACAAACATCAACCCTAAACCTACTCTAAACCCTGTTTAAAAAAAAAGCAAATGGTACATGAGCCAGATTATTTATTACGCTGTTAAAAATAAACCAAAAAAATCAAAAAGAAAGAGTTAAGAAAACATTAACCTGCAGGGAAGCTATAAATTAAAAAACAGGTTCAGTCTCAGAAAGGTCATGCTGCGTTCACTGCACCTGGGAAMCGGGAATACCCTCATTAGAGGCTGACATCAGAAAAAAAGGCAAATAAACACTCTGCTGGTATTTTTTTTATCTTGACTAGCAAACATTTTCATTCTAGGTTTTTTTTTCTGCCTACAAGAGGGAAATTAAATCTTTTAATTTGTCATTCAATTTTAGAAACACAGAAATTAATTTAAGAGACWATTTTTAACTTTAGACACTAAAAACTACAGAAAACAGAAGAGTTGATCCACAGAAAAGCTTAGGTTTTAATGGAGTCAGCATGAGGCYGAGAAATGATATTATGAGGATTAATGTCATTTCAACCAGGTGACTATGGTGGTGTTTAAATATTAGTATCTGTGGTGCAACATTTGAAGAAGCTTGGCCAGTTAAACACATAGAAGATAAATACCAGCTGTCTCAAATGAAAACAAAAAAGAATTACAGGTATTAAAGAAAACAATCTGTTTTAATAACAGTTTGTTGGTAAGTACCGAGTGCTAAGAACTCCTTTGAAGGTGCAGACTTCAAGCAATTTATTTATTTAGGTACCTGATTTTTGGAMAATGAATTGTATTTTTGACCAAAGAATTTGTTTTAATCTGTGAAACATAAATAAAATTACACCTCACTGATCTTTGCTAAGAGTCAAAGCTGAAACAGCTGATTTGTCCACAGATGATTAGCCTGTGTGTGTGTGTCTGCTGCAGAGAGAGACAAACCCAGCATAAAGTCCTTCACACAGCTACTGTATTGTAACAGGAAACCATGGAAACAAGATTTGAGAGAACATTGATAAATCTGACAGCAGCTCAATTCTACTTGTCTTTCAGTCATTTTCCAGCTCAGTCATTTTTTTATCTTTTCACACGTTCCAACATGAGAAACACGTTGCTGTAACACATGAGCAGAACTGGAACCATGCCTCTGTGTGTGGTAAATGAGTGTCGCACCACTTCAGTGAACTTTAACCAGCTGTACGTGACTTTAACATCATTCACCTCTGCTTAACAGGAAGTAATATCTGAATTAGTTTATGACCGATCAAACCGATACCTGGTTCTTTCTTATTTCAACATTATATTTGCCTTTTTTAATAAATAGCACTTAAAACTGTACAACAAAATCACCACACCAAGTAAAAAAAATTAATTACATTTACTTGGAGCTTGAAACTCTACAAGAAAGAAAACAAATGAATCTCTCATCTGTCTGTTACCTGTAAAGTCCTCAGCTTGGAGATGGAGGTCACACAGTTTGTGGATGTAACGAATGTACATGTCCTCCTTGTTCACCTCTGACTTATAGAAGTTCTGGTTCCAAGAAAAGAGACAAAATTTGAAATTCCTTTTCAAAACAATCCCAAATGTGTTTAAAAATGTCTTACCATGAGGTTGACAGAACCSCCAATTTTCTTGTTCTCCATCTCATCTCCTTTCATGCAGTCCCTGGAGATTAATTTACATTATTATTTTTTTTTTTTTTGCTCTGCAGTTTGTTGATATTGGCCTTGGGATGTGCAACTTTAATTTTAGCACACCTGTAATCCAGAATTCGCTCAACAAGTCTTGTGACAGAGGTAACAAACGAGATTCCGGTTTCCCTCCACGTCTCCTGTTCAATCTTTTCCAACAAGCTGGAAGAAAATTAAACATTTATTGCAGGAGATAAATGTAGAAATTAGGTTTACATCATTTTAAAAGAAATGAAATGAAAAGGGAATATTTCTTACCTTGGATAAGGGCCGAACAGTTGGGTTCTGGGGTGTGAAAGGAAATCAACAGGGAAGTGTTTTCAGGAGAAAAGCTATAACTGAGCTGTTATGTGACCCATCAAATTGAAATGAGGATTAAGTCAAAGTTGGTCAAAATGACCTAATTACATTTTCAGATTATTGGCATTAAAAGCTACATTTTGATACCTGGATCTTCTGATATTGTAATTAAATCCATATATATGACTTATTTGTCTTGTTGGTTGCAATAATACATAAA